ATATATTTTTGAAATAAAAATACTCCACCTTGTACACCAGAAAATTTCTTTAAACCATCTTGGGCAGCAGTTTGTTGATATTATCTTCACGGTTATCGAAATCACCAACCTCAACGTAGTGGCCACAGTAAGTTGGAGGCTTTCTTGAAGTGGGATCCAACAGTGAATATTTCATGTGCCAAATAATCAACGCACTGAATATCGTGCGCTTTGCGCAATTTGCGTTCGATCCCAAAGTTGTCAGAGTTTGGGACACGTTGATGGTTGTGCTTGACAATTCCACGTTTGTAGATCAATTCACGAACTGATTTAAGATTTGGATAGCCCCATTTAATATAGGGTTCGGCAATCCGTAGCAGATACAGATCACAAAAGCCATTCTGCGGGCACGTAGAATGGGCAATGTTTCTTTGCCAGACATCGCAACTTCATCTCACGGCGTCCATCACGGAGATGTTTTGCTTGATATTTCTCAGCATGCTCCAAGTTTTCACGCTCGCGGAGTGCAATCACAGCAGAGCGCTTTAGTTTACGCTTGATCAGGGTAGCACGTTTGCTGACCTGCTTCTTGCTTAACTTCAGCTTCGACTCGGGTACACCAGGCAGCTTCCTGGAAGGTGGTTTTCACGTTGCTTCGGGCTTCTTACCGGCCGTGGTGGCAATCATCTTATGTTGTCACTTAGCACGTTGAGAAGGCGAAAAAAAAGTTCGCCAAATATTTGGAGCACATCTTAAATAACGCCACTCGATTTACAACATTTCTATTAAACACAACCTATGTACATAACATAGGTACATATTTATGTATGCATGCGCTCAATTCAATAGTTTAGTTATTTTTAAAATTCATTGTAATAACAATTTTTTAATGTGTAAACCGACATGTTCTTTGCATTAAGCGATAATAAAAAAAACTTATACATACATATATTTAATTTGATGATATAATATTAAATAAATATTTTAACTACAATTTAATTTAGTTAATTACTTTTTTAATACATAGATATGCTGCAACCTGGCACTTACTTGCCTATCGGCATAATTTTTCAAATGTGCCTGAGCTGCTACTTCATACTAAGAACTTCATTTTCTTTGTGGCCTCAATATATCCTAAAAAGACTTAAAATTTACATTAAACAATAGAAATCGCAAAAATTAGCAAATAAAATACTCCCTTCATTTTGTTTTGTTGTCAAATTTCGAAGAAATGTGAATTCACCACGATGCAATACAGAAAGAACAAGGACCAGGGATGTAATTTTAAGTATTCAGTGGTAATGCGCAGAGCGTTCCGAGTAGCAAAATTAATTTGTATCAAATATAACATTAAACGGTGGTTCTAATACATTTTTTAATATTATTAATCAGAGTACATACATTATATGGTATTTCTTTCAAAAATTAATGCACTATATGCATTTTTTTATATTTCTTAAGTTTCTATCATTAGTGCTGAAAAGCAACCCTGCGTGTAAAAAATTATGTGGTACCTAAAATTTCACCTCTGAAAAACTTTATCCCCATAAAGGACTTCACCACAGTTTTTTTACTGGATATACTGAGGTGTATACGCAGCACAGTGTTCTATTTTAGAAAAAAAGGACAAAATCAAACGAGAAGAGATAGCGAAGTAAATGTAATGGTGTTTCAAAGTTTTTGGAATGAGGAATCCAGGAAAATAGTCTCGTTTGGTAGAATAATTACCTTGACCTTTAAAAGTACATTAAAAAATAGATGATTTAAATTTGTTCCTTTTTTGGCGTGAAACCAGTATGCAGGAAGTTTTTGAAAAGTTGTAAACCCATATTTTTGCTGTTCGCACATCAAGGAATTCATTTCCTTTGTCGCAAGAATCGAAAATCGTTTCATTTTAAATTGTTTTTAAAAAGTTTATTACAAGGTAAAAAAAATTATTAAGGTAAAAAAATATAAAAAAATCTAAAACTTTACTTTCGAAAGTGATTTTAAAGGTCTGATTAAATGAAAAGTTACCTCAAGACCGCCTTCAAAAGGAAAATCTTTTGACTTTTATTCTTTAGACTTAAGAGCAAGTGCAATGAACTTAAATTTTTTTTTTGGTTTTTGCGACCATAGAAATGGATTCCCTGATGCAAGAAAAGCAAAAAAATGTGTTAAAAAAGTTCGTTGCATACTGGTTTCAGGAAAAAAATTAACATATTCAATATTTGAAGGTCGCTCTCGTTTAAACAGCCATAAAGCATTGGGCGATTTAGTGGAGAAAAAATTCCGAAAGAAAATCCGCCTTGGTATCGGCTTTCGATACGAGTAATTTTTTTCTATATCTACTCTGTACACGGGGGAGGGGGTCGGGGGACGGGTGTTTCCTAAGTATTTATGAACCTCATATCGATTTGTATTTTTATTAAATGAATTTTTCGCAACTATTAGTAGAATGATTTTTGTCACAATATTTAACAATGCTTTATTTTATAACATTATATCCAATATTCTTGGCTTTTTTGACATAATGTCGATAACATTTTCGTTCGTTACTTCCACGTCTCGGTGCACGTTCAACAACGCTAGCCCGTTCAATCGATCTTCGCCTGTTTTACTTCGTAGATAAGTTTTCAAATTTCGCAATTCCCAGAACGATGTTGTTGTAATTGATGTTGACGTTTTTTTCGTTTGATGCAGTAACTTAAATTTGTTGAGCACCCCTCTCTTGAATAATCGTCGGCTGAGGGGGGAAATATACCCAGTAAACCCACAATTGCACAATTATTGTACAATCTTCGGGCGATTCCCTGGGCACTTTCGGAATTTTCGTACTAATGACTGTATCTGCATTTGCATGATTGTGAATTTCTGTGTCCAACCCCCAAAAAAATCATAAACATTAAATAAACAAAAGACAAATGCCAAATGCCAAAACCGGTCAAAATATCGCTATTCTTTTATTTTGTAGACCATTATATGTACATATGTACATAACAGGGATGTTGCGAATATTTGCATTCGCATTCGTGTTGCGAAGGATTCGCATCATTTAACACATTCGCATTCGAATCAATGATACAAATGTTTTGCGAATGCGAATGCGTACATGGGCAGAGACTATAACATTGTTGAAATGGCTCTAAGTCTATCTAACCAGGGTGCGGACAATAACCGGCTTTTAGCTTCAAGCGCTAAACGGTTAGTAGTAGTGTATATCAAGCAACATTGATGGGCCTTCAACAAGTACTGCTAATAAGCAACCAAGAAATAATTTTAGATTCCTCCAGCGAAAACGAAGGCTCGGATGTATCATCTGGCGACATTAAAAAATGTGAAATTAAAGCTCAATTGAAGGCCTATCTTAAAGAAAAACGAGCTCATCTCGGTGAAAATCCTCTCGAATGGTGGAAAACTAAACTAAAATACAACAAATTTACAGATCTGGCCGCAAATATTTGAGCGCTCCACCCGCCAGCGTTCCAAGTGAGCAATTGTTCAGTGCAGTCGACCTTATATACGAGCCTCTAAGAAATAGCCTCATGGGAGAAAAGGCAGCAAAATTACTTTTTGGAAATATAATATGCCTCTTTTGAACTTTGGCTAATAGATCAAAATAATAGACTTTTTTTTACACACATACTACGTACCGATGCTTAAAATTTTTATGGAGCAGTAAGCGACAAACTTTATGAGCGCTTATGAATAGTTGTCGATAATTTCAAAATTTCTCGTTTTCAAATGGAAATTGTCGATGCTTGTTTTTACCACATTAAGCGTAGATGTATATGCGTGTAAAAGGTACGGCTAATGTGTAGCTTACGCACTCGTTCAATGTTCTAATAATTGACAAAACTTTTAGGTAATAAAAACGATGACTAAAGTTTATTACGGCTGTTCATAAAAATATGAACATGAAACTCTGCCGCAATAGAGATAGGATTTTAGAAATATAACACATTCGTACATACATATGCAAACATACGTAAACCGATGAAATAAACAGGAAAAATATACAGTCCACTAAATGTCAAATGCAATGATAAGCAATAGAATTGTAATGTGACCCTTGCTCATAAAATATGTGAAAATTGCTTATCTGAACAAAATACATAAATTACAGTGTATACAGAAAACATAAAGAAACACGCATACACCAATATACCAATGCACACAAGCAGCAACTGACAGCCGATCATCAATTGTTTTAATACGTGCGTTAGATGCACTTAAGTCAACAGTGAACCTAAATAAATAAAAAAAAAAATACGTTGGTCTTTTATCTCTTACTAGGATTTACTGATTCTGCATAAGACACATACATTTTAGTGCACTTAAAATGCATTGGTATCGGATGTATACAATGAAGATAAGAATACACATTTACGCATGTACACACACACAGACACATATACGTAGTTAAGGAATTAGTATTAGAAAATGTATATAAGAAAGAAATATTCAATAAAGAGGTCAGATTAAATACAGCAATCTCACGGTGTATATTACGTATTTTTGTGATCTTCACTATCCCCCACCCGAGGTAAGAAGTGAAGTTGATCAAAAGTATAATAGTCTTGTACATTTCGTCAGTCGAGCCTAGAAAAGAGCTCAAGCGCAAGTACTATAAGTCTCTGAAAAAAGGAGAGCATTACTTAGCAAAAAAAAAATATATATATATACATATAAGCCGGAACAGCAAAGACTGTCCTCATTAATATAAAATATACTTAAACAAGTATATAATTCGCCTAAAATTCTAAGCGAAAAGCGTTTCCGTGGCTCACAGCGGAAAAGTGAAAAGTGTTAAAAAGCGTCCTCGTGGCTAAAACAACGAGTACAGTGTTTAAATACTAAAAAACAAAAATCAACAAAAAACAATCAAAATCAACAGTAAAAGAAACAACATCAATCAACATGGAAAATTTACTGAAAAGACAGAAGGAGTTGGGCGATCTTGCTGCGCTGGAAGAACAGAAAATCCTTAGCGGCAAATAAGGAAAGCTTCGTGTCTCGAATATATTCAACATATTCAAACAATGAGGACGGAATTTGATGGAAATCATGCCAAAATTATGGCTAAACCGAGCCAAGAAGCTGACGAATACATTGCCAAGAAGTATTACGAGCATGTTATTCAAGTAATGCAAAAGTCCATTCAGCATTTAAAAATACAAAATGCAGCCGAAGATTTACCAACAGTAAGCGGCAACCAACTTAAACCTGAATCGATGGGAGAAATGAGTGAGTTCGAGCCATCAGGTACTAATGCCGACGTAGAAAGCTCAGAGGGACCATAGAAGAAATTCAACAAAATGAATTGGATTCTGTCGAAGAAATAAGAAAATTCAAAATTAAGCTTCAAATACAGTTTGAATATGTAGAAGAAGCTTTTTCTGAAACTCGCAGTGTCCATTTAAAAGTCATTACTAAAGACTCAATAGAAGAACAAATAGAGGACTTCCGAGAAAAATACAGCGTTAACATTGAGAAGTTAACAGATAAATTGAAAAGGTGCACGCCAACACAAGCTGCGTCATCTACTATGAAACTACAGGAGATTAAGATTCCGATATTTTATGGCGAGATGAATCAATGGTCATCATTTAGCGATCTTTTCCAAGGTTTGGTGCATAATTCGAAGCACTTTACTGAAGTAGAAAAGATGTTCCGGCTGAAGTCGTCATTAGGAGGAGAAGCTGGAAGATTAGTTCAGCATTTACCGGTAATCGAATACAACTATGAAGCCGCTTGGCAAATCCTCCAGGAAAGATATGAAAACAAAAGGCTGCAATTCACAACACAAGTGGACAGACTTCTTGATCAACCAACAGCAAATGGGAAAAGTGCGGCAAGCATGAAGCAACTTTTGGATACCACCAAGGAATGCATTTATGCTCTTAACGGGCTTAAATTGAATTTAAATGACGAGCAAGCAATTATAGCTCGGATAGTTGTTCGGAAACTAGACAAAGAAAGTCTCCGGTTATATGAGCAGAATGTCAAGAAAACTAGGGATATCCAAAGCCTAGATGATGTTTTCCGTTTTCTGGAGCAGCAATATCAAGCTCTAGAAGCTATACGAGACAGGAAAACAACTAAATGGAGCAATCAAAAGCAGCCACAACGAGCACCCACATTCTTTACAGCTGCACAAAAGACCTGTATATATTGCAAGATTCCTGGGCATCAAATTGTTGAATGCAGAAGGTTCCAGGCATTGACTACGATGAATCGTAGAGGTTTCATAGTAAACAATAAGCTATGCAATATTTGCCTCGACCAAGTATATGAAGGCAATTGCAAGAATAAGAAAAAATGCAGTAAGTGTGGAAGAAATCATCATAATTTACTGCATTACAATGAATTCCAGAAGGAAAAAGGAGCAGGTGAAGAAAATGCTATAAAAAAATCATCCACTATGATGACAAAAAAACTCCGAAACAGCAATACTTCTAGCAACAGCCCAGATAAGAGTGAAGGCGGCAAATGGAGAGTACGTGACATTGCGAGCACTAATCGATCAAGGATCACAGAAGACTACCATTTCTGAAGAAGCCGCTCAAACAGTACACTTACCAAAGAGAAGAGAAGTAACTGAGCTACAAGGGCTAGGAAATACTACAGTGGGAGTCTCCAAATTTAAAGTCAACATTGAAATCAGGCTAAGATTCCTAAGCAACGAAGTGTACAATGTCGAAGCACTGATTTTGCCGAAATTGGCGAGTGCACAACCTGATAAAACATTTAAATGGGATATAGAACAATGGAGAAACTATACCTTAGCTGATCCCAACTTCAATAGGTCAGATCGAATCGACGTCGTTATTGGAGGAGATGTATATGCTGACATATTAGAAGAAGGCATATTTAAGGAAGATCGAATACTAGGCCAAGCTACGAAATTAGGATGGATATTGTCGGGAGTTTTACAACAACCGAGAAAAAATGGTAGAATTCTAGCGGCGGTGACCACAACGTTGGAGAAGTTTTGGGAAATAGAAGACACCACAGCACCAACATATATAGAAGATGATGATGAATGTATGAAGATATTTGATAAAACGACAACAAGAGATGAAAATAATAGATTTGTCGTCAATCTACCTTTTAAGAAAGAAAAAGAGTTAGGCGACTCTCGCAAACAAGCAATAGCGAGGTTTCTTAATCTTGAGAAAAAGTTGGCTTCAGATGACAACCTAAGAAAACAATATGTGCAATTTATGAGAGACTATTTAGAAATGGGCCACATGAAAAAAGCAAGTGGAAATAATTGCGGAACATACTATTTGCCACATCAAGCCGTAATTCGAGAAGGAAGTCTCACAACTAAACTACGAGTAGTTTTCGATGCATCTGCAAAAACTACAAATGGAAGTAGTTTAAATGACATCCCTTTAATAGGCCCGAGACTTCAAAAAGATATATTTGACATAATTATCAAATGGAGACTTTGGCAATATGTGTTTACAGGTGATATTGAAAAGATGTATCGACAAATTAAAGTAGCAGAAAGTGATCAAGATTATCAACGTATATTGTGGAGAGAAGCGAAAGAAGGGCCGATAGGAGAATGCAAACTGCAAACAGTTACGTATGGAACAGCATCCGCTCCTTTTCTTGCAACGAGAACTTTACAAGAAATTGCCAAATCCTGCGAGCCTTACAATTATTTGCTTTCAAACATCATTAAAAACGACTTCTACATGGACGATTTAATGACAGGAGCAGATTAAATAAATGAATGTAAGGTCATTCAGTTCGAAATTTCGAAACAACTACAAAAATATGGATTTCACTTAAGAAAGTGGATGTCTAATAACAGTGAGATTATAGCAACAATTCCAACAAATAGCGAAAATGAGGTAATAAAAATAGCAGAAGACGAAACAGTTAAGACATTGGGTATACAATGGGACCCGGCCAAAGACATGTTTGGATTTAATATGAATCTTTCAACGGAAAAGCTAGTAACAAAAAGGCAAGCTTTATCTGATTTGGCGAGAATTTTCGATCCGATTGGGTGGCTTTCACCAATGACTGTTTTAGCAAAGCTGTTTATACAAAAACTTTGGTTGATGAAACTCAACTGGGATGAGTTACTCGACGAAAATTTGGCAAAAGAATGGCAGGAGTTTATGCAGCACGTACCAGCGATAAAAAGAATAAAAAATCCCAGATGGTTTGAAACAAAAAACGAGTTTAAAATTGAACTACATGGATTCGCAGATGCGTCAGAAAAGCGTATGCGGCAGTTTTATATGCTAAAGTTGGATCAGTTATAACGATAATTGCTGGTAAAACCAAAGTGAACCCGATTAAAAACAAGTAAGAGCAGCGCTGTCTTCGGCTATGCCGAAGGCTTCATACCTTTCATGAACATCTGCAAATTTTAGTTTGACAGATTACTGATTTTGAATACATCTGCATACATCGATAGAGGAGTTACATACTTATATAAAAAATCGCATCTAAACAATCAGAGGTATGGAAGATATACTTTATATGGCACCAATCTAAGTGATTTTCACTGCTATGTGTTCGGTATGTAAACCGGTAACACAATTTATTGGGTTTAGTTTCCTACATAAAGGAGATATATCGAAAAAACCTGTATCTGAACAATCAGTGCTATAGGAGATAAAGCTTATACAGCATAGATTTTGACGATTTTGTCAGTAGACTTTGTATTATTATTTATAAAATATCTTACGAAATTTATCGGTTTTAGCTGTTCAAATAAAGGAGTTTTACAGTAAAATCCCATATCTGAACAATCAGATGTATGGAAGATACATATATGTTTAGTCACCCGATCCTTGTTATTTTCACTGTAAGTATTCCTTTGATAAGGAGCAAAAATGGTGCGAAATTTCATGTTCCTAGCTGCATAAATGGAGGAGTTATGATAAAAGACCTCATATCTGAACAATCAGTTGTATGGGGGCTACAGGTTATAGTGACCCGATCTTTGTTATTTTCACTGTAAGTCTTCTGTTGATAATGAGTGAAAACAGCGCGAAATTTCATGGTCCTAGCTACATAAATGGATGAATTATAACAAAAAATCTCATATCTGAACAATCAGTTGTATGGGAGCTATAGGTTATAGTTACCCGATCTTTTTAATTTTCACCGTAAGTTTTCTGTTAATAATTATTGAAAACAGTGCGGAATTTCATGTTCCTAGCTATATAAATGGAGGAGTTATAACGAAAAATTGTATATCTGAACAATCAGTTGTATGGGAGCTATAGGTTATAGTGACCCGATCTTTGTAATTTTCACTGTAAGTATTCTGTTGATAATGGGTGCAAGTACTGCAAAATTTCATGTTCGTAGCTGCATAAATGCAGAAGTTATAACGAAAAATCTCATATCTGAACAATCAGTTGTATGGGAGCTATATGTTATAGTGGTCCGATTCTTCCGGTTCCGACAAATGATTAATACATTATAAAAATACACTCACCTACCAAATTTGATCCGGATATCTCGAAAACTGAGAGACTAGATTGCATACAAACAGACAGACAGACGGACAGACGGACAGACGGACATGGCTAAATCAACTCAGCTCGACGTTCTGATCATATAAGTACACATTTCAATGGGTCTATCTCTTTTTGTTCTGGTACTTACAAACATCGGACCAAAGTTATAATACCATTTCATGCTCATGAAAGGTATAATAAGAAGACATTGCCAAAACTGGAGCTATGCGCGGCTCACCTACTTTCTAAATTGCTGCAAAGGATAAAGACAGTTATCAATAGAGAGGTTAAAATATTTGCTTGGAGCGACTCATCTATAACGTTAGCATGGATAAAGAATTCCCGAAGTAAAGATAAGTTCATTAAAACGAGAGTAGAAGAAATCAAATTATATGCTTCCACTGCAATATGGCAACACGTTGGAACAAAGGACAATCCAGCTGATGTAGCATCCAGAGGGGTATTTGCGAACAAACTAGTGGAGCATGAGCTATGGTGGAGAGGTCCCAAATGGTTACAAGGAGAAGAACATCAATGGCCAACACAGAATAGCGTTAAAATCGATGCAGTGTATGTCACAACATCAAAAGAATCACATTTTTAGATGAGGTAATATTAAAATATTCTAGTTTAACCAAATTAATAAGGGTTCTAGCTTATATATTGCGATTTATAAAAAGAATACGAGGACAAAAATGTCCTGCGTACTTAGTAAAATCAGAACTAAAAGACCTGAACAGAGAATAATAAGATATCAGCAAAGATTACAATTTAGAGAGGAAATACAGAGCTTAGAAATCAAAAAAGAAATTAGCAGTACAAGTAAAATTGCAAGCTTAGATCCAATTTTAGATAACAATGGAATCCTTCGCGTAGGAGGTAGGTTAGGGAATGCAAAGCTTCAATTCGATCAGAAGCACCCAATAATATTAAATAAATCACATTTGTCAAAATTGATTATTGAACATGTTCATAAAACAACCTTACATGGAGGAAATAAGTTAATGGAAGCAACGATTAGAAGGAATTATTGGATAATTGGATTAAAGAATTCCATAAAAAAAAAATTCGAGCTTGTAGTCGCTGCATACGTTACCGAAAGGAAGCAGCTAAACAAATAATGGGAAATCTTCCAGAATTTCGAGTGTCGTTGTCAATTTCATTCTCACACGTTGGTGTAGACTATGCAGGTCCAATAAATATGAAATGTTCCAAAGGAAGAGGAATAAAAACATTTAAAGGATACATAGCTGTATTTGTATGTATGGCAACAAAGGCTATTCATTTAGAGGCAGTAAGTGATTTAACAACTGAAGCGTTTCTAGCTGCTTTAAAAAGATTTTTTGCTAGAAGGGGTAAGAGTCAGCATATATACTCAGACAATGGAACAAATTTTGTCGGAGCTTGTAGAAAGTTAGACTTAGATTTCAAAAAGGCAATCAATAAAAACTCAACAGTAGCTCCCATATTAGAAGCAGACAAAATTCAATGGCATTTTGGGCCGCCGGCAGCTCCTCACTTCGGAGGAATTTGGGAGGCAGGAGTCAAATCAGTGAAATATCATTTAAAAAGAGTGATAGGCGAAAGTAAATTGATATTTGAAGAGATGATTACTTTGCTATCACAGATTCAAGCAGTGCTAAATTCACGACCCTTATGTGCGATCGATAGTGAAAGCGATATAGATGTTTTAACACCTGGGCATTTTTTAATAGGATGCCCATTAATAGACTGTCCTGAAGCAATTGATGACACAACAAGGGGTTCGTTAGATAGGTGGAAACTAATACAACAAATGAAAAGAGACTTTTGGAAACGGTGGGAAAGCGAATATGTCACAATGTTGCAACAACGAATGAAATGGAAAACCAAAACAGGACAATCTAGCAGTAGGTCAAATAGTAATTATTAAAAATGAAGAAAGTCATCCAGCAAAGTGGCCATTAGGCAAAGTTATAAAAACCCATCCTGGAAGCGATGGAAAAACCAGAGTTGTAACTCTGAAATTGCAAAATGGGATACTTAAACGGCCCGTTCACAAACTGTGCCCACTAGAGACAACAAACAGCAGCAAAACGGAAGAGCCAAATCAAGCTGCAAGCCTGTTGACAGCAAGAATAGCAAAAAATTCAGCGGGCCCAGGAGGGCAGAAAAGAACGAAGACATTGATGATGTGGTTCTTTACGTTGCTCATGCTAGCAATGCAAGTTAAGGCATTATACATAAATGATACGGCTAAAACAGGAGCTTCAGTGGCTGAGCTAAGAAATAATACCGCAATATATTTGGATCCGATCGGCAGAATAGACATAATGAATTCAAAATGGGATTTAATCGTTTATTACGAGTTAGGTTCCTATTACGATCGGATGGATGGAGTAAAATAATTTATTAACAGACTTGACCATCAATGCAAAATATTGACATATTATGAAGAGGCCTGTGTAATGATTACCGCATTTTTAAAGCATAAATATAATAGCCTTAAGTCAAATAACGAACTGTTCATGAAGCAAGAAAATAGAAAAAGACGAGCACCATTCGAATTTGTTGGCTCAATTTACCATATATTATTTGTAATTATGGATGCTGACGACCGAGAGAATATGGAATCAAATATTAAAAATATTTTCGAAAACCAAAAGAATATCGCAAAGTTGTTTAAGAGCCAGACATCAATAGTTGATTCTACAATAAATATATTAAAAAAGACAACCGATGAAGTTAACAAAAATTTTCAAAAAATGAATGAACAGCTAAATAAATTTTATCATGAACTAGTTAAAGATCAAAATGCCGAGCGAATGACCTTGATGTTTCAGATATTAACCATTCAAATAGGAATAGTTATGGACGAATGTGAAGATATCCAAACTTCGATAATCAATTTACTAATTGACATAAATCATGGTCGCATAACTCCAAAACTAATGAAACCTTCACAACTTAATAAAGAAATTGCACTTATCAGAAACAAGCTGCCACACAAATTAGTACTACCTGGAAAACAGTTCGGTAATGAATTAAAAGAAATCTATAAGTCGATGACTGCTAAAGGGTTAATTGTTGATTCACGACTAGTCATAAACATAGAAATTCCCTTAATATCATATGAACCGTCAGATGCATACAAATTAAATCCACTGCCAATAAAATACAAAGGGAACATGATATAAAAGCAGAGTATTTAGTATACAAGTTTGATTTAAATCAATATGTATTGATAAACCAAGTCGATCTAG